TCCCTATACAGCATACACATTTCCCCCCCCCAACATCTACAGTTTTATTGGTGCAATTTAATTGGTCCATGTGATGATAGGGCATTAGGAGTAAGAGACGTCAAAACAATTAACTGTTGCATCAGCAAAACTGCAAATCGATTTGATGTCAAAATCTTGACGTCTACATACTGATGCCCTTTTGACCACCAAAAATACAACACAAAGTATTATAATATAAGAAAGACTATAAGAAATGTATCTGAAAGCTTCAATACAGAATGTGCACTAGATTTCGTATCCCTACAATGCGTGAAAACTACCTTGATGTCAAATAGACATCAAATTGACATCTAAGATTGGCGTCAAAATACGTCAGAAAATAATTTTTGGGATGTTTTTTGATGCCAATGATACATGTCAATTTGAAGTTGTTTTGATATCAAGGTAGTCAATTAACATCAAATCAACTTGAATTTGTGAGTTTCTAATCGACTGGCTGTTTCTTTAAGATGCCAGCAGTCATACATAGATTCCAATCATAAATGAAAGCAAAGAAACTCTAATTCTGGCAAAGTACAAATGTAGAAATAGGGGAAAAAAGTACGTCAAGAATCGAATCATGACTTCCACAATCACAGTCCTTATGCTGTGTTCACACCAGACGCGCAGATAAATCGTGCTATTCATGCGTAAATAGCCTCGTGAACATTTGAGGTTACTCGTTTCATTCGCGCATCAGACCCCGCTTCATTCGCGCATCAAATTTGCTTTATTTGAGTATCAAGTGCCCTTCCGAACAGACATTCACTTAATGGGCAGGGCATCTGTCTGCCTGGTGACACTAGCTTTGTTGTTAAATGGCTAACATGGGTTTTATTAGGAAAATAACTGTGTTTATGTGTTTTATGAAGGCTGAAAAACAGGCCGTGTCTGAGTCCACTAGATTCTTTCAGCGGTGCATCCAGCTCTATGAGTTTAAAAGTCCTCCTGAAATTTTACCTGAATGATAGAAGCTTTCAGCGGTGCTTCTGACTGAGCCAAGCCCAGTTTGAAGCACTGTTGTTGGTGTCGGCTGGAGGATTTCCCCCGGGACACCATCAACAGGCTGTACGTCACAATCATGCACGCCCCCAGAAGAGCAAGCTCCTGATTGGTTAACGTGGCTTGAGATCAGAAATTTTGAACTGTAGCGTTTTACGTCAAATGCATAAACGCTCAATACGCGCCATTTGCGCAATTCGTGTCATTCGTTCGTATCGCGCAGCAGAATGTCTTTTCGCGCGTTTACATTAACTTAACATGTAAATCACTTGCGCTTGACGCCATCAACATGTTTTACGTCACAATCACGCCCCCACAAGAGCAAGCTCCTCATTGGTTGCGAATATCCGCTTGAGTTCAGATTTTTGGTTCCATGTCTGGTGTGAACACAGCATTAAAGATCCACATTCTGATTCAACACATTTTTTCTAGCATCTACAGTTTCATTGTGTAATTAGGGGCCAAGCACCGTAGGTGCGTAGGCACCCATTGCTTTCGTTAGCGTTCCTATTCTTCTTCTTCTTCTTCTTCTTCTTCTTCCGTTTCTTCCGCTGTATTTGAAAGGCAGCCCATATAGGCGTATGCGGGAAAGTTCTATAATTTGGCACAATGATAGAGGACAGTCTTAACATTAATCAGACCAAACATGAAGTCTCAAAATCAAACTCTCTAGCGCCACCACTTGTCCAAACGTTCACCTATGTTTATCATGATAACTTTTGAACCGAATGGGCTACAATCAAAATTCTTTTTTCCTCTGATTCCTTGGCTCAGTCCGATTCAAATGTTTCTGGCCAAAAATGCTATATTTTACCAACACATTCACATATCATTACAAAACATGGTATGCATCTTCAACCCCATGCCCTGAAAGTCCTCAAAAACATCTGGAGCAGCGCCACCTTTTGGCCAAAAGTGCTTGGCCCCTTAATTGCTGCTTGCAGCTATATTTAAATTAGCAGTCGATGATGGGGCATTTGGAGTGAGAGAAATTAAACAAAATAATTAACTGGTGCTTCGGCAAAAATGCTAATCGATTTAATGCCAAAATCTAGACGTCTATTTGACGTCCACATATTGATGCTATTTTGATCACCAAAATAACAATACAAAAGTGTTTTAATATAAGTAATGTTTCTGGAATATATCTGAAAGCTTCAATTCTAAATGAACACTGAATTTTGTATCCCTACAATGCATGAAAACCGATGTCTAATAGACATTAAATTGACATCTAACATTGGCGTCGAAAATAAGTCAAAAATGAATTTGATGGCAATGTTAGTTGAAATAGTTAGTTGTTGAAATAAACGAATGAATACGAGCTGTTATGAAATCGAATCGTAACTCCCACCATCACAGTCCCTAAAGATTCCCATCCCTATTCAGCGCACACATTTCCCCCCCCCCAGCATCTACAGTTTCATTTGTGTAATTCAATTAGCAGCCGATGCTGGGCCATGATTGATTTGTTTGTGAGATCGACCGCGTTTTTGTTTTGTTTTTTCCCCCCGCATGGGCGGAACTGATTAGCAGAGAAAGGTGACTGTGGTGGCTATGCCTGAAAAATCGCTCTTGCTGCATTTAGTATGCACACTTGACTGGGCCGCTGTACTTGTACGGGACACACTGCAAGGTCATTAAATAAGCGAGCATCATCACGGGGGCGATATGTAATGCAATTGTTGTCAGCTTCCATCTGTTGGCTTGTTGTACTCTCATAAACACGCCAATGACGCGTGCACACATCCGACAGCTCCGCCTTGGGCTGCCGACTGTCATTTAGCAGCGCGGGTCAGCAACATCCACACAGCTGAAGTCAGAATTGTTCGTCATCCTGTGAATACGTTTTTAAATATTTCCTAAATTATGTTAAACTGAAGGAATTTCGATGTTAAAATTCAGGAATTTTTCACAGTATTTCCTATAATATTTGTTCTTCTGGAGAAAGTCTTATTTATTTTATTTTGGATAGTATAAAAGCAGTTTAACATTGTTTAAACCATTTAAAGGTCAATAGTATTAGCCCCCTTTGGTCTAATTACCCTAACTTTAGCCTTATTAACCTAGTTAAGCCTTTAAATGTCACTTTAAGCTGAATAGTAGCATCTTGAGGAATATCTCGTCAAATATTATCTGCTATCATCATGGCAAAGATGAAAGAAATCAGTGACTAGAAATGAGGTATTAAAACTATTATGATTAAAAGTGTGTTGAAAAAAATCCATTAAACAGAAATTTGAGGGGAAATATACAGGAGGGCTAATAGTTCTGACTGTATATAGCAAATGCAAACATGCAGAATTTGCCAACCAATCAATGTGAGTGTTTGGTAAATTAGGTGCATAAAAGCGACACGTAGCTGTCCCTCTCCGGCACACTGAGCTCAAAGCGGGCCTGAGTTTGTAGAAGCTGCCCTGAGCGAAAAACTCTGTCTTGGATCACTAATCCCATTATGCAAATGTTGCTTTATAAGTCACGTTCAGTTTAGCGCGCGCAAAATGATTAATGTGCTGCATTTTTGCATTATAAATATGCATGCTTGTGTGCGTAATCTAAGAAAGAGCTTTTTAGCTAGCTTTTATCAGAATAATTGATATATATATATATATATATATATATATATATATATATATATATATATATATATATATATATATATATATATATATATATATATTCTTTTCCTTTTTTAATATTTCCCAAATGATGTTTAACAGGGCAAAGACCTTTTCAGAGCATGTCTTACCATATTTATTTGTTTTATTTCGGCTAGAATGAAAGCAGTTTTAAATTTTTTTAACACCATTTTAAGGACAAAATATTATCCCCTTTAAGATATATATATATATATATCCGGCACCTCATTTTACGTTATGGACGTGACACCAGCCCCCCCCCCTCAATCTCTTCGCTTTCATTTGTGATACAATCCCCCTCCCCCTTCACTTTCGTCTGCGACACAACCCTCTGAAACCCTCACCCCCGCCCCCTCTTCACTTTCATCTGCAACACCTCTTCCTCCTCTGGTAGCATGCCGGATCTGTTATTTGATTGTGTCGCAATCTTCACATTAAGCACTGCAAACAACCATCTCTGGGGTTTACAGAGAATGGCAGTTCTGTGGGGGCAAATGCCTTGTTGATGCCAGAGGTCAGAGGAGAATGGCCAGACTGGTTCCAGGAAAAAAAAAAAAAAAAAAAAAAATATATATATATATATATATATATATATATATATATATATATATATATATTTTTTTTTTTCATAAAAAAATTATATTATATATATATATATATATATATATATATATATATATATTACATAAAAAAATATACTTATTTTATTTATAAATATATTTTCTGTATGGTTGTAATGTTTCACTTTGATATTTTATGAATCTATATTTATCATTAAATGTTTATCATGAATATATTTGATCATTTTATACACGTTAATCATTATGCATTTATTGTTGTTGACGACAATCAGAGTTTTAACTCAATTTTAAAACAGTAATAAACTCAGTTTCCAACCCATATGCACATGTAAACATACAAAATGTAACATGTAATAAAATAATAAAGCAGAACTGTAAGTAAAAACCCCAGAAGAGTGACTAGCGGCAGAAGCGCAGCTCTTGGAAACCGCATCCAGCAGAATTGCTAACGCTAACTTACCTGCCGGCTGTGAAAAAAAGAAGCTGTTTATGAGGTTAGAAAGAGGTAGCATTAGCATCGTTCCAGATTAGACCAGGACTGCTTTAGCAGCGCCTGCCTTAGCAAGAATAGCGCAGCGCTAATGTCAAAAGATCAACACACACCTGCCCGACTCCCGACACCACATTAAAACACACACACACACATATAACACAGACACAAACACACACATAGACACACACACAGAGACACAGAGGAGCTCTCCCGGTAGTTAGCGCTCATGTTAAAGTTAAGGTTAGTTGTGATTAGCGATCTTAC